TCTCATTGGTCCACCACAGTTTGTTTGTTTTTCTAAATGATTCTTTTCAACCACAATTCAAAACCAACGTCTTATTTCACAAAATTATAATTTAACTCATTTTTATTTATTATTTCTTTTTCCAGTTTCCAGTTATCTGAGTGACGGTTGTGGATTTTCTTTAATGGACGGAGATGAACAGATGTGAGGACGACTGTAATATATCAGGTTTGATGCTTCCATCATAACATCTGGTTCTGTGCATTAGTGAACAGCAAACTGTTTTTAACTTGCTGTTTCCTAAAGTACCGACTTCAGACGTCTGTGAAACATCTCGTGCGGCTGCAGGACGTCTTTGTCCTGAACACGTCTGTGGAGGAACCAGTGAGTCCTTACACTGCCTGCGGCTCCTTGAACTTGCCCATGCGCTGGATGTGATACATGAGGTCTCCTCCGTTGATGTACTCCATCACAAAGTACAGGCGATCCTAAAGCGAGAGAGAAAAGAAAGGGCCTCTTATTCAGAGAGCCGTGCAGAACACAGAAGCACATTACGGCCGGTTTATGTGACGCATGTCTTCAGAGATGTTTCACAGCCAGACGTGATCTGTGCGTGCAGCAGCCTGCTCCGTTAGAGCTCTACGCTATTCGTTAGGAAGCTTTGATCAGCAAATGTACTTCTATTAAAGCCTCCTTGAGTCACTCCGTCTACGCACACAGCTGACGTCACACCGGAGGCTTGGTGCTCAGGACGGTCTCAGCTCGGGTTCCATTTTCTCTGCAGGGACGCCGGCAAAAGAGCAACAATAAGTGGGGAGGGCGAGTAAATGTAATGATGGAGACAGAGGCTGGCGCTGATGGAGGAGTGCTGCAGGAGGACATTAAAACCTCAGCAGCTTTTACACGCCGCAGCAACGCAGGATGTGTTTGATCAGAGCAGACAGGAGGTATGAGAACATCCACGGCATGCACCATCCCTTCAGGTAAAGCCAGCCGCTGTGGGAGCTTGAAAAAGGCTTTTGCAAAAGTCAATGAAAACATTCAACGTTTGTTTTTGCGTCATGCTACAGAAAAGAAACCTTTGCTCTACTTGTCGTGGTGTTGTTTCCACCGAGGTGCAGGACAGGAGCTGGTTTAGAGGATTCAAGGTTTCCTGCTCTGTTTAGGTGTTTCTACTCTCTCCTGCCTCCTTCGTACTCACCACCGTCTGGAAGCAGGAGTGCAGCTGCGTGAGGAACGGCGGCTTGTCTCTCTGGGCCAGGACTCTCTTCTCCACCATCGTACACTCGACGTCGTCGTCCTGGATCACGACGTCCTTCTTCAGGATCTTGATGGCATACAGCTCCTCCGTGGACTTCATCTCCGCCAGCATCACCTGTGGGAGCGACGCCACGGGTCAGAGGTCACACAAACCAACGCGAGGCCTTCAGCACGCTCGCCTCTCACCTTGCCGAAGCTGCCCTTCCCCAGCAGCGCCAGGAAGTTGAAGTCGCTGAGCCGGACCCGGTCCATGTTCCCCGACGGCAGGCTGAACCGCCGGTGGTCCGACGGCGTGATCACCTTCTTGCCGTGACCCAGCTTGGCTTTCTGCGGCACAAAAAACACACGTGAAGCAAAATGGCGCTCATTCATTTTCTAACTTCTGTCTTATGCAGTAAAGCAGATCCAGAAACAGCTTGTGTGTTCTGTGATAGAGAACACTGTGGTGCCTCCTGCAGGACATGGAGAGGACATGAAGCGTTTCATCAGCTGTCATGCTGCCGTCACTTGTCGCTGCTGCAGATCTGCTGGTCAGATCACAGACGCAGGCTTTAGTCTGCTTCAGGTTTCATCGGTGGGAAACAAACAGGGGATGCAGGACGTGTTCATGCCAGCTACTGATCACGGCCGGATCTCGTCCTGTAACAACCGATGATGCAGAAACTACAGAAACGCTTAAAATGTGATAAAAAAATATCTACGTGGGGGATTGAAAATGCAAAAAAAAAAAAAAGTCGATGTGATGTCAGTTTCCAAAAACATCAGGAGCAAACTGAATCATTTTCAATCCCTTTGGAGATATTTTTAGTGTGCAGCATGCTGGCATCACATCAGCACACGGTGGTGAGTTCTGCAATCAGTCATCACTAGGAACCGGCTCAACGGTGCCGCCAGTTCAGTCCACCTTTAACCTCCACACAGAGCTCACAGTGGTGTGTGTTTTCCTCCACAGTCATCAGCTCTGCTCAGACGCTGGTGCATTTTGGGAAGCTGTGAGACGGGGAGTCGGCGGCGCTGCGAGCTCCCCTGCTGCTATAATGACCGGCCTGCCACGCATGTTTGAACAAAAAGGCCAAATAGGACCCTGCCAGCTCCCATCACAGCTCCGGCGGTTTTCTGTTTCCGTCAGATGGAGCAAAAGGGAAACAGGCGAGCGGCAGGGCGGCCGTTGCCAGGACGACCGTTTCTCCACTCCTGATTCGTTGTGACAGTCTGCTCGACATAATGGCTGTCACGTATTTATCCGGGTTAAGCGGCCCTGCACCTGGTTAGGTCGGTTAACAGCCGACTAGCACAGACGTTAACGAAGTGCACTCTGCAGGTGAGTGGGTCTGAGCAGCTCGTTAAAGCTAATTATCAGAGCAGCAAACAGGAAAACACTCATCAGTAACTGGTGTGAGGACTCTCTTTGGTTTTCCAGATTCCTTAAATCCGTCTTTGTAAGGCCCCCTGGCTTCAGGCTTTCAAGATCAAACCCTCAAATCATCTGAATCACTGGCTTAGAGCCGTAGCTGCACATTCAGTCATCACTGGGACGGCAGGCTGAATGCATAGAAGAAGGTCTGGTGATGTCTTTGACCCACCACATGAAGTCTGTGAAGTGTTTCTCCCTCACAGTCTCTGACGCCACGTTGGTGCAACAACTCAGTTTCCTGAATGTTTCCTGGTTCGGCTCCTACAAACCACGTGATGCTTTTTTTTGTTTAGGGCTGATCAATAGTCTTTGGTGTTATTGAATTCTCCCACAGATTTTTATGCAGGATTCTTTTCTCCCTCAGAACTCAGTCTCTGGATTTTCAAAGTGCTAACACGTGTGGCATTACCGTAATGTCTGGACTATAAGCTCCTACTTCCTTCACGCGCTTTGAACGCTGCGGCTTAAACAAGGATGAGGCTAATTTATGGATTTTTATGAGTTTGAATCGAAACCAAAGTGACGCTGAGAGAACGAGGAAGTGATGAAGTGATTCTGAGGCTGTTCAACATCTTTCTGTGTAAATATCTCATGTTCCAACGTGGGCACCTCCAGCTTACACACCAGTATGGATATGTACACACCTGGTTTTCTGTTTACAGTCAGTGGGTGGGGCTTATATTCAGGTGCTCACTAGTCCAGAATTTACGGTAGTTTCCATCATTTACTGCAGGACGCCGTGGTCTTCTTGCCGCTAGCTCTCTTTGTGATTTTTGGCTGCTCGTTGGGCGACTTTCTGCAAAGTGAGTTTAGGACAGATGTCAGAACTTCTAAGACCTTTGCACAGTACCGCAGATGTGACCCGAATGCGGTGGCGAAAAGATCAAGCGCCAAAGAGACTGTTTAATCCTCGGAACCTCCAAAACCACAGGCGGGTTTGAAAGTCGTGCTATCTTTGACAAAAATCAACAAAATGAGACCGTTATTCAAAAGCCAGAGACTGTAAAACCATCTGTGACATGCTGCTCATCCGGATCAGACATTTTATCAGAATCAGTACGCGCTACGTGTCTTATTTAAAAATTACCCCCAAAACTAAGTGTTTGCTTGAAGTACATTCTGTAAAAAACTAAAAGTTCTGCACTCGTCTGTGCATCCAGGAAACCATCAGAGACTCTGCTGGGATCAAAACTCATATGACAAAAACTTTTTGGCTAAACTGGGTCGAATCACAAGAGATTCAAGATCATCTTTTTTTGTCACACACACAC